CGAACCATTTCAACTCCCCCTCCCATTCCTCAGACGACATGTCCATCCTGGGCCTCCTGCAGTGCCACAACGATGCCACCCGAAGGTTGCAGGAACAGCAACTCATATTCCGCTTGGGAACCCTGCAGCCCAATGGTATCAATGTGGATTTCACAAGTTTCAAAATCTCCCCTCCCCCTACCGCATCCCAAAACCAGTCCAGCTCGTCCCTGCCTCCCTAACCTGTTCTTCCTCCCACCTATCCCCTCCTCCCACCTCAAGCCGCACCTCCATCTCCTACCGACCAACCTCATCCCGCCCCCTTGACCTGTCCGTCCTCCCTGGACTGATCTATCCCCTTCCCACCTCCCTACCTACACTCACCTTTACTGGCTCCATCCCCGCCTCTTCGACCTGTTTGTTTCCTCTCCGCCTATCCTCTCCTCTATCCCTCTTCTATCCGCCTTCCACTCTCTCCCTATTTATTTCGGAACCCCATTCCCCTCCCCCTTTTCTGATGAAGGGTCTAGGCCCGAAACGTCAGCCTCTCTGCTCCTATGATGCTGCTTGGCCTGCTGTGTTCATCCAGCCCTGCACCTTGTTGTCTCATATTCTCACAGCACTTGGTTTCCTTACTGGTTTAAAATCTGTCTATTTCAGCCTTGATGATTCATGACAACTCAATCCAGACAACTCTCTGCGTGAACGAACTGCACAGATTCATTGCTCTCTGAGAGAAAAAAAGAAATCGTCCTCATTACTGCCTTAAATAGATGACACTTTACTCTGGGATTATCCTGTCCGATCAATGGCATTGCCACATAACTACTCACATCTACCCCTTCAAGCCCTCTAAGAGGCATATATTTTTCCATAGATCTCCTTTCATTCTTTTAAGGTCCAAAAATGTGTATTCAACCCATTCCTATTAGAAAATTTCGCTATAACTGAAACCAAACTAGAGAACCTTCTGTGGGGCTGCCTCCAATGCCAGTATATCTTTCCGCAGTTTAGGGTTGGGGTGTGGGAGGGTGTGAGAAAACTATTCAAAATCTTCTCGGTGCAAACTATTCAAAATCTTCTCGATCTAAACAGTGCTTTGCAGAATATGAACAAGGTTGTCCATTTTCATAGCCTACTCCCTTTGAAATAAAGGTCAACATTCCATTTACTTTCACTTTTGTTTGCTAAAAATGATGCTCGCTCTTTGGGATTCATGCACGAGGAACCACCAAACCCTCGTGTATTTGTGCCATCAATTCATTTTATTTCCCAAACGTAATATGCATTCACGCACTGAGTCACTAGTTTTGTATTGTTACCGTTTTATCCCCCTTTCACACTATTTACTGCTGTTATTTGATTTGATTTATTTATCGTCAACCCAAATACAGTGAAAATCTTTGTTTACAAGCAGAACATGCAGGTCATAGTAAACATGGATATACAGATCATAGGATGAAAAAAAAAGCTTAGAAGCATACAGGTTAAGTCGCAGAGGGCTATCGATAGTCCTGAACAACATTAGCAAGATCAGCATTATTTGAAGTTAGAGAGTCCATTCAACAATCTAATAATGGCCGGGAAGAAGCTGTTCCTGAACCTGCTGGTGCATGTATTCAAGCCTCTGCATCTTCTGCCTGACGGAAGAGTGTTTTTTAGGAGAGCGTTAGCGATGTGGGATGGACCGTTTGATGTTGGCAGCCTTTCTGCGGCAATAAGCCGTACAAACAGAGTCCATGTATGGAAGGTTCGTTTCTCTGATGGCCTGGGCTGTGCAGACAACCTTCTGTAGTTTCTCAATTTTTAATTTTTTAAATTTTTGCATACCGTATCCTCTCTTCTTCCACTTTGGGTATCTATGCAAACGGTTGCCTTGCAAGAAATCGTTTCCGCTTGGTTTGTAAGCCTGCATTTTGCATCTTGCCCCCTCCCTCACTCTAACTAGTTTAAAGACTTCTCTTTATCTCTAGTTATTGGATTTGCCAAGACCCTGAGCCCAACATTCTTCAAATGGAGACCCATACCACCAGAACTGTTCCATTCTGCCCCAATACTGATTCCAGTGCCCCACAAACTGACACTGATTCCACCCACACCAATCTTTGAGCCACACATATAATTCCACGACTTTATTTACCCGATGTCAGATTGCCTGTGACCAACGTCGGCTCACCTTTGGTAATGCACGACTCCTGGACCAAATTCTTAATGCTAACACATACTTATCCTTGCAAACGCTCCAAATACTTCCTTGGCCCTGCTGCAATGCTCCAGCGACACTCTGCAAGCTGGAAAAACAGCGTCTCACTTTCCGCTTGGGGAACCTGCAGCCTTCAGGAGTCAATATCGAGTTCAATAATTTTAGGGCCTGTACACCTGCTTCTATAGCCGTTACCCATCCCTACACTCAAGACCCTGTCATGATATGGGCTACTTTCAGAACAGCTCACCCATTTTCACCTAATAACCGCTATAATCAACTTGTCTTTCTTCCCAGCTCAGCATTATCGATCCCTTTCTCTGCCCAACTACTGTTCTGCCTCGACTGAAAACAAAAAAAAAATGCAGGAAATCACAGCGGTCAAGCGGCATGCATGGAGAGAGAGTAAGCTGTAATTTCCAGCATTTTTTGTTTCAGGCTAGATTCCAGGATCTGCCGTAATTTGCTCCCACCATGATGTTCTCTCTCTCTGACTTTATCTCCACCAATTTTTTTACTCCTTTCTCCCACCCCAACCCACACCCACTTTGCCGCCCCGAATCATCAACATATATGCCATCTTCTGATGAAGAGTCACAGGGCTCGAATTGTTGACTCTGCTTTTTCTGCACAGATGCTGCGAGCCCTGCTCAGTTTCTACGGCATTTTTTTTTTGCTTTTGCTCCGGTTATTCATTTAATTGCTGCTTGTCTGGGACCGCAGTGCTCAAAGCATTTGACAAAATTTCCTGCGCCACAGTTAACTACACTGCAAAATAAGTGCCGTCCTTACGCCACATTGGAAATGCCTAGGATGGTGGGTAGATGGCATACGTCTTTTATTTTGTGCAGTTAGTCAAATCGAACCCGCACAACCCCGGTCCGTCGAACGATCTTCTCTGTAGCCGTCACCGAAACGTACATCCTGATAATGATGGTACTTTGAGTTTTAGTGTGAGCGACTGCAACCACTAAACCAAGTCAGTTCACGGAAATAGATCATGCAACGTGTTTAAGCAGAGGGCTTGTAATCGGGAATGAGTTTAGACAGGAGAAAAGTGCAATGGAATCTCGGCCTCCACCTTCGGTCTCTCTCTATCTCTCGCTCTCTGCGTCACTGCCGAATGAAATTGACAGCGCAATAACATCCAAAACGCAACCGGTTTAAAACAGGAAGTGCGGAATATGACCATGGCTTCCAGGCGGCAAGTCAAGAGTTTGAGCGAGGAGGCAATTTGTCCCATTTGTCTGGATTTTTTCGTCGATCCGGTGATACTGGAATGTGAACACAACTTCTGCCGCTCCTGTATCACGCAGAGTTGGGAAAAAAAGGAGATAAACTCTTGCCCGGAATGTAGAGAGGAGTTTCCGGAAAGAAACTTCAGGGTAAATCGGACCTTAGCGAATCTGGCCGAGAAATCTCGAAAATTAAACCTGGATCCGAAAGCGAAGGAAAATAAACGTCACTGTGAGAAACATCAGAAAGAACTGAAGCTGTTTTGTGAAACTGACAAGAAACTGATCTGTCTGATTTGTAGAGATTCGCGGGAACACAAATCTCACAACTTCAGGACGCCTGAAGAAGTTGTTCAAATCTATAAGGTAAAAAGATTTAATCATCTGATTGTTCTATCACATTTTCGTACGTTAACAGTCTAATTCTGTGATCTTTTCTAAACGCAGAGTCAGCTGGAATGTTCCTTGGATTCTCTCATAGAGAAGAAATCGGCAGTTCTAGAACTGGAACTCAATCAGAAACAGAAGATTTCCGAAGTTAGGGTGAGGTCTCCCTGTGCTGATTTTCTGGGATCTCGGTTAGTTTTGTTCCCTTGATCGCAGGACATTAATGATGTTTCACATTTCATTTGGTAGGAACAGGCGAACGGTCTGCAGACCAACATCACATCCGAGTTCACTAAAATGCACCAGATTCTCACTGAGAAAGAGCAACGTTTACTCAGAGATCTCAGGGAAGAAGAGGAGAGGATTCTAGAGCCAATAGAGAAAAACCTTCGAGAGATCCAGGAGAATTTGAATTCGATTGAGGAGAAACTGTTAAAGTTGCAGGAACAGATGGAGCAAACAGATGAGCAGATATTTCTGTAGGTGAGGGAATTGCATTTCAGCTTAATTCAGTAAAACGTCACAGTCACAAACGTACCATTGACAATTTTGCAAACTCCTGATCTAATTTATTAATTTTATATTTCTTGCAACCGATTCTTTTCTATTGTTTCTATTCTTATCTAGTCTGAGGTGGATCTGCTGGAACAGAAAGTGCTGGAGAAACTTAGCAACTTAGGCAGCATTGTTGGAGAGAGAAGCAGATTAAGGTTTAGAGTCCAGCATTACCCTACTTTGGGACAAAAGCAGAAGTTGCTGGAAAAGCTCAGCAAGTCTGGCAGCATCTGTGAAGAAAAATCAGAGTAAACATTTGTGTCCGGTGACGCTTCCTCAGAACCTTCTGAAGCTTAATATTTGAAAGTTGCATTTGAATCTCCTTCTACCACTCCTTCATTGAAGGCATCGCAGATCATCACAATGCATCTGTTCGTAAAAGTTCTCTCTGGTTGTTAACTAATTATCTTAAAATGTTGACCCCGAGTAAAGATTCTTCTACCAGAGGATGATTTTCTTTATTCGTTCTATTAACACTCTTCTTTACCGTTTGCTTTCAAGTCAAATTTAGACGATTGAACTCCTTTATTCTTCTTCCATTCTGTTTGGTCTGTCTGCACCCTCCTCAGGTCCTGAAACGTTTTTTAAAATATAAATCCCAAGTTGAACGAAGACTCTAGTTAAGGCCCATTCAGTCGTTTATAAAGTCCTAACAAAAGTTCTTTGTTACTGCGTGCTTCGAACCCATTACTACAATGTAAAAGTCTATATCACATGCAATTTATTAGCCCCCTTGTTCATGCGGCTGGCGTCACTTTTCGGCATTCAGTTTATGTCGTCTTCCCTCAGCACTTTCTTTTCCTCTGCGTTCAGTTTAATCCGATTCACTCATGCATCCATTTGTTGCGTTCTGCGACTATTCTTCTTTCTACTCTGATAATGCCACGTTTCATGTTGCCCGCAATTGAGACAAACAAATGTATCCGTGAATTCAAATAAGCTATGTGTTCAAATAAACCTGTTGGACTATAACCTGGCGTCGTGTGATTTCTGACCTTGTTCACCCCAGTCCAACACCGGCACCTTCGCATCTTGGCTATTAATACGAGCAGTTATAAATTGCTTCTAAATGCCAACGGTAGTAAGAATTCAGCATAGTATTAGCTGGTTTCAGAGATAGTAAGAACTGCAGATGCTGGAGAATCTGAGATAACAAGGTGTAGAGCTGGATGAACACAGCAGGCCAAGCAGCACCAGAGGAGCAGGAAGGCTGGCGTTTCGGGCCTAGACCCTT